GTCTCTCTCCAATGACCTCTAGACACAGCAATGCAATATGCAATAATGTCAAGCAATGGAAACAGTGCACATGCAAATGCTCTCCTCCTATATGTACGCTCTTTTACATATTTTTCTCCACCTCAGTTGCACTTTCTCTTCTCCTTTTTGCCACAAATGCTGAAGGGAAACTAAGCAATAACTCAAAAATGCAGTTGATAGCATGTAAAGGTCAAATTAATTAGTCATAAACCTTCCCACATACTCAATTTAGACCATAATGGAGTAAGTAGAACAAATGACTTATGTGTGTAAAGTGTCACTAATACAATATAAACAGGATTCCAAACTTTAATTTTATGAGAAGGGACATGGCAATCATTGCCAATAAGTGTATTCTCCTGCTAATGAAAGTCAAACCATGTAACGTGTAGTAGGACCTATACTTATTATTATTACTATTATTTTATTTTCCCCCCCCCCCCTTACTTTGAGCATTTATATTTTTCAATTTTCCACAATTTTCAGTTCATCAAATTTTCACATTTTTCTCAGTTTTCAAGCTCACTTAATTTTTATCTTAAGTGCAGGTTCTTCTCCATTAAGGGACTAAAATGACCCCTGTAGCAAGTTTTAGGCCAATTAACCCAAGTCAGTTGATCATAGGCACTAGGTTTTAAGAGACCTCGCAGGCTTAATTGCTCAAGTCAAATAGGACTCGAAGAAAAAATTAAGATATTGAGTTTTTATAAAATGAGGGAATATTTTTGCGTTTAGGTCTACTAATATTTGTCAATTCATGTTCAAAGTCACCCTATTAACATGCGATAATCATCCCAAATCTCACACACGTGGTAGAATATCACTAACAAATTCATAGTGTGTGCAGTGCAGATGGTAAAGACACCTATACTAAGTAATCCAAAGTGACCTAAACAAGTAATGAAAATTATTCTACAACTTATCAATTTCAACTCATATATGATCACAAATTGCAAGTTCAAGAAACATATGTCATGCTGTAGTTGTGTTCCATAACAAATTGTTTTTTGTGTTTTTCTATTTTTTAATTTTTTTGTGTTTTTCATTTTTTCAAAAATGAATGCTCACACACAAAAGAAAAAAAATGTAAAACCAAGCACACAAAATATGCATGCGCCAAAGCAATCAATTTAAATGCACGTTCGTGAAACTAAAAACAAAGCAAAAGAGACATAAACATATACAAGTGATGCATGCAATCATCATGTGATATTTAGGAACAGGCATGCATCAAAACTACATAATCAGTTTGGTATATAAGTGCTCTTTCCCTTTCCAAATTCTGCAGATCACTCTTCTTCACCTAAACCTGTCTAGTGGGATAATAGCTCCTAGATAGTTGTATCACCAACTTGGTCAAATGATTCACTTGTTCAGTAAGAAATCCAAACCGATCAACAGACACCTGGTTTTTGTTTCCATTTAAGTACATCTTCCTAGTTTTATTCAGGTACTAATGTCATCTAAGGCGCATGTGACCTAATTCTCCACAATGAAAGCATGTCGGGATAAACCTATGACCTATGTTATGTGTTCACTGTCGTCTATTCCTAGGTTGACGGGTCTTACGTTATCTAGTAGACCTCTGTCTTACAGATCCCTTAACCTTAAGTTCGGGCTTAGGACATCTCGGACTCCTTCAACGACTCGAACACTAATTTATCTCATCTATACAAAATTGCACCATAAGCCCTTGACTTATACAAGAATGTTCGATTAAGTCCTTGACTTTTACAAACATACAAGTACGCCCGTTTTATCTACAAAATTGCCAATTACACTTATAGACCTAACAAGATTCAACAACAAACTGAACAAAGAAGTAATCTATGTTTAATATAGTTGATGTTACTGGTAATAAAACTCAATTTGTTGGTTTTTTATTGTATTTAAATTCTTGCTAAATGAGATGTTGAACACTTATTTACTCAATTTTCCATATTAAGGAAAAATGTCACAATTGAAAAAGAAACTTAATTATTATATTGAAACATTCAACTTTAGAGAGTTGTCGAAACTCATAAATTATCGGTCATATTTAGGATATATACCTCGGGTAGGCAATCAGAGGTATATTTAGGGTACATATTTATTAGGATTGGACATAGATTGATGAAACATCATGCATGTTTCTTTGAGAGTACTAGATAGAATTTAAAGAAGAAAAGAAATTAAACATTTATAGATTATACTGTCACGTCTAAGTGAACATTTGTTCATCTTATTAAAAATAACAGAAAGATCAGACATGTTGTGTAATCGACAATCGACGCACATGGTCTAAAACCGACAATATATAAATTGCGGCAGCTCGAGTCTTGCACTTGATAGATGCAACTCCTAGATGATGGAAAGAGGCCTATTCACATGTTGCAAGTATAGAATTTTTTTGACAGAATTGGTCCTGTGATTTGCTGTTGTCAAAAATAGTTTTTGACAACAGTCAATTACAAGAAGACGGTTCTTGTAGAAAATCTGTAAAAAAAAAAAAAAAAAATTCTATATTTATAGCATTGTTCAAGATTTTAAGCCTTAAAGGGGAACTTATTAGAGTTAATTGTTTCAATGGTCACTGAAATTTAAAATGTCGAGTTTTAGTCACTGAACTTAGGTCCATGCCTTCGATTGTTCACTAGAGTTTAAATTGTCAAATTTTGACCAATGAATTTTGAAAAATGTCGTGCAGTACTCCCTATAAACTCGACATTTTTCAAAGTTCAACATTTATGCTAGTGAGTAATATACAACATTTTTCAAAGTTCAGTTGTCAAAACTCGACATTTTAAATTTCAATGGACAATCGAAGACATGGACCTAAGTTTAATAAACAAAATTCGATTTTTTAAACTTTATGACCAATCAAAGACATGGACTTAAGTTGAATGACCATTGTAACAATTAATTCAACTTATTAAGCTCAAGTTTGATGATCATTATTTGGAAAACAATGTTTAAATAGTAACTTTTAGAAGAATTTGTGGTTAAAAAGTAGAAAATTTTTTGAGTTTACGTGAAAAATATTTTATTGTGGAAATGTATGGTTGAAAATAAGTATATAGAGAAAAGAATTTTCAAATAATAATTGTCAAACATATGCTAATATTCTTTGCTACTAAAGGGCCATGGTACTAAACGTAAATAAATTTTTTGTTGAGGACAATATTGTCTTAATACATGTATTTCTTGTTGTGAAAATAAATGGAGAGTTGCCGACACCACACTTATATTTGTGAAGTCTGTAATGTCGGGATTGAAGATCAAAATAATCCCCATTGAAATTGTAGAACATGTTGTGAATTTACCTTTGGTCCTTTGCGTTCGGCTGTGGAAATTCTTACTTCAGTGTAATTCTAAAACAAAACTACTTTACACACATAGGGAAGGTTGGTTGATTTCAGTCCAATTTTTTCCACTTTCATTTACCTTGACGTAGTTATAAGAACTGGGAATTTCGTGACATTTCGAAATGGCTGTCTTCTATTTTTAATAAGTTGTTTAATAGTTGGCTGTGATACTTCAACCTCCCCATGAATTGATTATTCCTAAACAAGTCATGCCTCCTGGATTCATTGGGCGAGTGGAAGACATTGAGAAGGGCTTCACATCCTTTTCAGGGCTTCCAAAACAACAATAGAAACATTCGAGTCCTCGATTTGGACTTAGTTTTAGATTTTGTAGGAAAGGTTCCTGCCCGTCTAGGGGACTGGATCATTCCTTGGGCTTCATACCGAAAAAAAAAAAAAAAAGAATTGGAAGCGATGACTTATGGTTGACTTTCTTGGTTATGTAAAGAGATGGGGCTCTTCTCACCATTCTCTCACGGTACTATATCGTTATCGATCACCCTATATATATATATATATAAGGGAAAGAAAATCTTGAAACTTTTTGTTTCAACACGGGATTTTGAAAATTTGTCAAAGAAAAGTTAACGAGAACACTGTTAAAATTGTGTTGATTTGGTAATATAAATATGGTTATTGCCCACTATAAAAGGCATTAGTATAATCTAAAAAAGATAAAGCAAGTTGATAGGTGTAAAATGACATTGTTGGTCAAGTTGCGTAACGTGACTACTTGGCCTTTGACAAAAACGTACTCAAAAATAAAAATTTAAGTCTGTCTTCATAAGCTAAGTGGACTATATCAATAGATAACAAAATGTGAGAGGGAAATGAAGAGAAATAGAAGGGATGAAGACAAAAATATTAAGATAAATTAATCAACTAAGTCAAAGGCCATTTAATAATCTCTATATAAATGATTTTTTCTACACCAAGAAGTATGAATATACTAATACCTTTAAAATCGGATCGATCAATTCAATTGAATAAACTGAGAATTCGCCGGCGTTGTGTACAAAAACTGAATGAAGCTGTGATGATATTTAAGTTTCTTTTCTTCTCTTTTATTATATATAATATATAAGGGCGTGTTTGATTGGATTTATTTTTCATGGAAAATATTTTTTCAGTCATGTTCCTACTTTTGAAGTGTTTGATCGACATTTTTTCCATGAAAAATATTTTTCAAAAGTTGGTTCACGTGATCATGTTTTATTCAAAAACGAGGAAAACTTTTTCTTTTTGGGGGGCGGGGGTGGTAAGTTTTTATTTTCTAAATATTCATATTTCCCAAAAACTCAACTTTACAAAAAAACTACAACATTTTCTAGGCTGAAAATTAATTCAATCAACAAATTTAATTTCTATGCAAAGTTCTAGATAATTCAATTATCTTCAACTTATTTTCTTTTTATACAAGTTCATATTTCAATTAAACATATTCTAATACTATTTTGTTATACTAATTTTAAATTTAATTATTTTTGCTACTTGAGTCGATTCTGATTAAACTATTTGAGTATTGACAATATGGTTCAACTGGTTATTATATATTAAGCTGGAAAAATTTATTGACTTTGAGTCTCGCCGTTGTTCATAACAATAAAGCATTCAATTGCTGATTGAAACAAAAGAAACTTAAATGGAATAGTTATTCTCCATTTCAGGACTTATAAAAGCACATGTTTTCACTTTTATTCATACTTAACATTGTATTTGCTAATATAAATAAAACTATATAACTTTACCAAAGAGCTAAATCTGATCACACTTTCAATTATATATATTTAGCCAAGCATTATGGGGATAGAGACGAACAGGAAGATCCTTAGCAGGCATGGGCATTGGATTAACAATAATCTTCTCATCTGGAAATATTTTCTCCCACTTGAACCTTCTCACAAGATGGTGCATGAAAACAAGAATTTCGAGTCGAGCATACTCTTTTCCAGGGCACATCCTAGGTCCTCCACCAAATGGAACAAATGTGTAAGGAGCCGGTCCAGCTCCTTCGAATCTTGAAGGATCAAATTTCAGGGGCTCAGGGAAGACTTCGGGATTCCTGTGAGTCGAATTTGCACTCCAGTATACCTGCGCAGTAATAAAAAACGACGAGGGATTATTACATGCATACTAGCTCGAATGAAATAATATTTTATTATTTTTGTTATTAATTTGTTTACCTTCCACCCCTTTGGGATTGAGAAACCGCTGTACATGAAATCAGCAATGGCTACTCTAAAGGCTCCTTGGAGGGGAGGGGCTAGTCTTAGTACTTCACATGCCACATTCCATGAGTATTTCATTTTTTGAATGTCATCCCAGTCCAGTAATTCCCCAGGAGCTTTTGATTTGGCTATTTCCATTTGCTCTATTCACAAAACAGACAAATTGTAATTAGATTATTTGCTGTTTGAGAAGAATTATTCTTATAGCTTATAGAAAACAATAAATCTTTAGTACTTTTGAGGTTATTACATTAAACCCTAATCTCTACATCTAAAGTAATAAGAGATATATGCACTCACAAATACAAGTTATAGTGGTTCATACTCAATGTGAAAGTTCGACTATAGATCTTCCACTATAAATTCCTTTTCCTCGCAGATGTAATTTTACCCTATCTGAACATGTTGGTTCATATTCCTTATATTGTGTAGAAAATTAGATTCTACAATCTATTGAATTCTCATTACCATTTTAGATATACTAAGATCGTCTCCCATTTTAAGATAATAAAATCTCGATTTTATTCTAAGTTAAAGTCAACAATTAATTTTAACTACATATGTTATGAGTCTCACAACTTTTTAACCACATATTTCATCAACTTATATCAAAATCTACTAAAAAACTGATTTTAATCCCTGCCAAACAAGGGATAAACTGTTAGATAGGACAAAAATAGTCACCGTGTTATAATAACACGTGACTTAATTCAAGGATTACTTAGTAGATCCGCTTGTTCCCTAATGCAACAGTTGTCTACAGCAAACCGTTATCTATTACTCTGTTTGTACTTTAAAGTTTTTATTGACTTAATCATTGGAGCAACTTTTCAGAATTTTTTTCAAAAGTAACATAAAACCTTTACCATCAAAGGAAAAAATTCAGGAGAAAGTATAAAGGGCTTACCCTTGTAGACTCCTTCATAAATTTCAGGCAGCTCAGCAAGATATTTGACTACAAAAGTGCATGCAGAACTTGCAGTGTCATGGCCTCCAATAAGCAAACCTAAAATCTTATCAGCAATATCCAATTCATGCATGAATTTTCCACTTTCATCACTTGTCAAAAGCATGTGCGACAAGATATCTTGTGTTGGTGAAGCCTTTCCTTCAGCCAAGTCGATTTTACGCTGTTTGATTATTGAAACAAGTTCTTTTCTGATGAAGTTTGAGGCCTTGATCGCCCTGTGGAATGGTGTTCCAGGTAAATCTATAGGGATTGAAATCCACCCTGTCTTGCCCGGTGGCAAGGAGCTGGAGAAGCCAGACTTGTTCTTGTAGAAGAGGAGGTGGAGGGACAGGGATATCAGGAGGACAAAGAGACAAAGAAGAGAGACATAGAAGAACTCCATTTCTAGTTGCCAAAAGCTCTTTGAATGAGTTTTAAGTGTAGTTTGGTATGAAGTTAGGCATATATATAGCCACGTAAACATTGTGAAAAGGTGGATAAATACTTCACTTTGGAAATTATGGGCTCACAAGGAAAGGTAGGTGGCGTGGTGTGGGTGGCGAAGTGGAAGTGGAAGAAGTATTATGATATCTTGGTCAATTTTTGCTAGCTTTATAAGTTGATTTAACACAAAACGCACAAAGTCCTAATGAATTTATATGTAACAAATTTTTTGGACAATTAAAAAGTCCATTCTTATGTTCATCATGTGTGAAACCATATTTCCAAATCTTTGAAATTTTTCTCAGTAGTTACATATTGAATTATTCAACACACTGTGTAGTCACAATTGAATATGTTCACTTGTACATATCCTTCCAAGAACTTCAGCATATAAATCTTCACACTTTTGAAACTCCATTTTCTTTCTCTTGTCAATATGATTTTTTATTTTATTTTATTTTATATGGTAAGCATAAAAAATTATCCTCTCAATCCCTTCTGCTCCTTCATCTCATCTTTAAGTGGATAAATTGATATGCCCGCCCCTCAATAATCTCTAGATCGATAGTCTAATTGTTGATTTCGTATCGACAACTATTAGAATATTCGTGCATGGAAATTGATCCGTATTTTGTACGTATTTTGTGCACAATATAGTCCAGAGGAACAATTTAATTCACACAATTGATTACCGTGCTCGGTTGGTACACATCGGCCATTGCTCTTATTTGCCAAATAAATTTGATATTGTTTGTCTTTCAACTTCTTTAATTTTGGCGGGGCAGAGGGTGACCCAAGTCATTAATGTATTTGTACAGTTATCAAAGTAATGCAACGAAACAAGACCACAAACTCAGGGATTTATGCCACAATTTCCTTGATTATTTTAGCCCTCATTTGCGACCATATAATTAATAGAAATTTAAGCGTATCAAAATGGACTTCTCTTAATCATGATTAAGACTTATATCTTACTTGTGTTACTTCATCGATGTTTATTGATAGATGGTTTCATCATTAAATACAATATTGAATTTAATATTCATTTAGGGTCCGTTTGACTGAAAGAATGGAATTTGGTTGAAAAGAAAACGAATTTCGGGGAATTGAATTGCTTAGAACTTGTTTTTTTATGAATTCTCAATTGAATGTGTTTGATTAGTAAAATTTTTCACTTGAAAAATGTTAAAATTTTGGATCTTTTGGTGTTCGTTTGATTTTGTTTTCCATGAAAATTGTGAATTAAAGGGATATAATTTTTTGCAATTGTGAATATAATTTATTCCAACTATCAAAAAAACTTGGCTGGAAAACCAATTCCTATGAGTTTAGCGAGAATTGGTTTTCCACAAAACCAAGAAAATTGCCCTGGGGGGTGGCGTGGGGGGGGGGGGGGGGGAAATGGAATTGCCAATAAAATTTTATAATCAGACAAACTAAAAAGGTGGAAAATGAAATTTTCCATGAAAAATTGAGCAAATCAAACTGGCCCTTAGTATCCTTGGAATTAATTGAGTTAATTGTTCCAATGTTTACTGAACTTAGGTTCGTGTCTTTGATTGGCCACTTAATTTTAAAATGTCAAGTTTTGACCACTAAACTGTCAAAAATACGGAGTTTTGGTCACTGTACTTAGATCAATGTTTTCGATTACTCACTGAACTTAGATTCATATTTTAGATTGCTCATTGAAATTTAAAATATTGAGTTTTGGCTATTGAACTTTGGAATATGTCGTACATTACTCACTAGCATAACTGTTGAATTTTGAAAAATATCGAGTTTATAGTGAATAATGTACAACATTTTTCAAAATTCAATGAGTAATGTACAATATTTTTCAAAGTTCAGTGAGTAATGTACAACATTTTTTAAAGTATAGTGGCCAAAACTGGATATTTTAAACTTTAGTGAGCAATCGAAGACATGGATCTAAGTTCAGTGATCAAAACTCGACATTTTTCGAAATTCAGTGGTCAAAACTTGACATTTTAAACTTTAGTGACTAATCAAAGACATGGACCTAAATTCAGTAACCATTGAAATAATTAACTCGAATTAATCCTAACTAAAATTTTTTTTTATGAAGGTTAAACTATCCTATCATATTTAAGTCGAATTTATTTTTAATTAAAAATCGACCCACAAAATTTTCATAATTAGATAAAGGTTAATGTTGGAATATCACCCAAATTTCTAATTGGGTTAGGATTGGATAGGTTCATTGGTAAAAGGAACATAAGTTTTCTTGGTTTGGAAGCCCAAATTGAAAAGGGTAAAAATTCATTAAGGATTGGAAGTTTTATAGGAAAATGACTTTGGAATGAATAAAAAAATGCCTTTGAAGTGCTTGGGACAGAGACAAGGGCATGGGTCAGGATGCATAGGCATTGGCAGCACTAAAAGAGATTAGCGGAGTTGGTGCCTAGGCTGTCCAAACTCGATTTCTATCGCGAGTCTTGTATTTTACTTTATCCAAAAAACTTATAATGAATTCCTGTATATCCATCACGTGATATCAGGGGCGAAGTTATGAAGGGTCCAGTGCAGGCATATGCCCGCACTAGACTTTGGCTCATTTCCTTTTACATTTCAGTTCTGGGTGCCCACAAACTGAAAGGTAAAAGATCATAAAAGTAAGTAAATAATCAACAATGAAAAACACAAGAAGGTGCTAGCTGGGTGGCGTTTCTGATATGTTGCAATCTTGCAGAGAATTGATAGAGCGAGAAGAGAGACAGAGAAAGTGGGTTGAGTATTGTGATTGAAAGAGACTGATCTTGTAACAAAGTGGAGTGGGTGTTGTTGAGGTGGCGTGTATTGGTCTTTGATGAGAGAGAGTGTGTTTTGTTACAAAATATTACACAAATTTTCATCAATTAAATTGTTTCTTTAATATTTGAATTTAACAATTTGATATTAGATAGAAGCAATCATAGACGAATTTTTGAGCTTTTCGGGTTCGTGTACAAACGGAAATTCTAGAGCTTCTAGAAAATTTGTTTGATTACAAAGAGGTAAATTAAATCACGATAGAAAACCTAAAAGTCGTAGACGTAATGAAAAAGTTCAATAGCCAAAAATTATACCACGTGACAAATTACATAGAATTTTATCTCCAAGGATGAGACCTACAGGAAGTAGTTGACGGAAGTGACACATTACTACTAGACAAAATCATGGCTCTATAAAAGTAGATAATCAAAACGAGCACGGTTATATTTGTCGTAAAGACAACAATCGAGAAAGAATTGTTAGAGCATGTAAATGATACGAACACATAAAAAAAATATATGCCTACACTGAATAATAATTCTAGCTCTGCCCCTGCGTGATATGGCCTTGAGACATAGCAAAATATTGCACAGTATTAAGAAAATATCAAAATGATAGGATCTAGGTTATGGAGAGACTCGTATAGTATTGAGAGAACATCAAAGTGATAAGTTCTAGGTTATAGAGATAGACACTCGCATATTTTAAGATAGATTGAGAGTTTTGTGATATTCTTTTGTACGTTTTTGCTATTGATCATATTGAATTCTCCTCATCTGCCAGTGGAATATTGTATTCTTGTATAATGTATTATTTTCATCTTGCCCATATTTCTCGTATTTAATATTCATAACTATTGGAAAAATAATTAGTTGCAGTAATGTTCAGAACAATAAAATGCAGAAATATAAAACTTATCGTCCAATCGAGTCTCGTGACAGTACGATGTCCTAAAGTGAAATTGCCCATCGATAGTTGATGCAACGTCCATGGACAATCACTCTCAAGATACAACGATCGTAAACTACTTGTGCAGCAATCACGAATGATTTTTCCAGAACTCTCAATTATACTCCAGAATATATGTAACAACCCGAGTATTCAGAATATGAAAAGGAGGATTGATGCATAACTGTTAGTGAGTTGTTACAAAAACAAACGGTCAGAAAATACTGGCTAGTTTTATCCACTAAATAATAATAAAATAAAATAATTATTTTAGTCAGGAAAACCCAAGGCCCAATCAAGACATTTTAATATTTGCGTGGGGAGTGGCTCGAACCCCTGATGTCCCACACAAATGCTACATTTCCCACCACTTTGGCACTTCATCTAATTTGATTATTTCTTTCACATTTTATATTTATATCATAAATATATAACAATAACAAGCCGTATATGTTCTATCACTGGGTCATTGTAAATTGGCTCAATCAATAACAAGTGGTATCAGAGCCAAGGATCAAAGTTATTAGGATAGCCAATTTGGTTTCCTATTAAAGTGACGTTTGATAAACTCAGAACGATGTTTGATTGTTTCGAAATGACAAGTATGAAGTTTGAAATTTTTCTTTTGGATCACAACACCAAATTTTCTTTGTGGTAGATCAAGATGTGAGCACTTCTTGCCCAATTGGAATTGGATGATGCACTATTGGGACTTGATAAATTGCCCTCAACTTTGATACGGGAGGAGAACAGCTAAAGTATATCTTCATCTTTCGAATTAAATTCTTCACAATGTGGTAAAGGAAAACAATGCCGCTGCATTATGGTTAAAGTTGGAGCAATTATGAAGTACTCGAAGTCTAATCTGCAAATTGCATCTAAAGCAGCGTTTATACTTTCATTGTTTGTCAGAAGGTGGATATTTGGAAGATCATCTGTATGTATTCAAGAAAATATTAGCTAATTTGAAGACCATGGACGTCAAATACGATGAAGAGGATATTAAGATCTGGGGTCCATCTTAATAAGGTTAACCTGAAGTACTCGAAGTCTAATCTGCAAATTGCATCTAAAGCAGCGTTTATACTTTCATTGTTTGTCAGAAGGTGGATATTTGGAAGATCATCTGTATGTATTCAAGAAAATATTAGCTAATTTGAAGACCATGGACGTCAAATACGATGAAGAGGATATTAAGATCTGGGGTCCATCTTAATAAGGTTAACCTTTTAAGAT